CTTGGGGAGGCGGTAGGGTGAGTGATAATCCCCTGCCTCAGACTGGCTAACACTGGAACATTTTCTGGTGCACTCCCCTGGTAACCTGGTGGCTTCTGGGTAAAATAGTCCTGGCCTGCAGGCATCAGAGCTCCATCTCCTCGTGTCAGCAATAAGCTGAGGAGAGACTTCTCCCAAGATCACACTGTTTAAGTAGATGCGTCCTTTACAGTCTTGCCTTCTGTCTAGTGTTGGAGGCAATGAGGCAGGGACAGAGGAGAGCAGGGTACCCAACCAGGACATGTCATGATCCATTGTCAGCCAATAGCCACCTATGGCCAATTCCTGCTGTTCTGTCTTCTAAGTCCCTTCATTTGGCCAGAGATGGTCCCCAAGCTATTGGAACATCGAATGGGAGGAAACCTCCTAAAAAAAAAAAAAAAAGGAGCGCCCAGGCTGGGACGGGGAAGCCTAGCTCTCTATATGACTGACCATGAACAACAAGAAGTAACTTCTGGCCTCAGCGTGTTCAGTAAGGTCTAGATCCAGAAAAACAGAGCTCTCCCCCCAATGATGCACCATCTCACTCATCTTAGATTTACCCGGGAGGTTTGGCACAGGAAGTGGGTGGGCCACAGGAAGAAAACAGCAGCCTACAGATTGTTCTCTGCCCAAACTTTGCTTTCCAGCCAAGAAATTCCCAGAGAGGGAGAGAAAAGTCGTGGAAGCAAGCATGGTGTGGTAACTCACGCTTGCAATCCAGCACTCAGAAATCTGAGGAAGACTGCTATGAATTCAGAGCTAGCCTGGGGTACATATTGAGTTCAAGGTGAGCCTGAACCCTGCAGTATGAACTCCTAGTGGTGGTGGTAAGGGATGCTGGGGAGCTCTTTAAAATGATCCCAGTCAGCCAGGCCTAATGGCTCAGACCTATAGTCCCAGCACCTGGCAGGAAGAGTGACAGGTGGAGCTCTGTGAATTTGAGGCCAGCCTGGTCTACATAGTAAGTTCTATGACAGCCAGAGCTACACAGTGAGATGCTATCTTGAAAAAAAAAAAGTAATAATAAAAAATATATATAATTAATTAAATAAATAAAATTATGACAGTGAGGAAAGCTAAGGCCAAAAAGGTCAGCACAATATTCAAAGTGACAAAGCAAATCAAAACTGGAAGAGGACCAGGGCCTCTGACTCCCAAGTCGGTACTCTTTCCGTGGTCTATAGTACTTTGCAGAATACTGGGAACAAAAGCCATTCTGGTATGAGGTTGGGTCCATTTGCCTCAATGCCTCAGACTCCCTCACAAGAAGTCTAATCTCTTTCCCTCAGATTCTTCCTGGAAACGGGAACCAGAGGCATCGGGACCCAATACTAGCATCTAGCAGATACTCAGGGCTCTCTTAGGACCCATTACCAGCATCCGGCAGACCCGCAAGGCTTCCCAAGTGGGCCCTCTTGCCCTCACCTTTACTCTTTCTTCACAGACAGTAGAGGGCTCAGGCCAGGAAACCCACCAAGCTGCACCTCCACAAGCCCTGTCCCACCCCAGACCCCAAGGTTGGGCTCCATCCAGAGTTGTAGGCTCCAGCCCAGCTTCCCTCTGAGAAATTTTTCTTACCATAAAAGGGCAAGTGTGCCTTTCTCAGCCCTGCTGCCAGCCCTGCTTGGAGAAAGGCTGAGTTATTTTTAGAAGATGTAGATTTATTCCTAACCCAAGATGGAGCTGCCCCTTTGCACCATACCCCCTTCCTTTTACTCTCCTTTGTGGCCACCTCACACACCACACACACACGCGCACACACACACACACACACACACACACACACACACACACCTCCTCTCCTCTCCTCTCCCCAGGTCCTTTCACAGCCTGCTTCCCTCCTCTTACCCTCCCTCAGATCTTTCTAGTTACTGGAGAAAGTGACGCATCTGTCCCCCACCCCCTTCTGAAACAGTATTTACAACATACATTCCAAACATCCGCCATCTGGCTTCTAGGAAGAGCCAAAAGCTATTTGGAAAAGGAAGTCGTGATTATTCCATCTTCAAAGCCAGGGAACTTAAGGCCCTCTTCTCTCCCACCTTCCTCCCAGAGGCCCCTGTGTTGACCGATGACATCTTTCAGTCAATAGATGAGGTCAGGACCTTAGCTGGATGCCAGTTGGATCCCTGACTTCTAGCACTCCTTTTGCGTTCCTTGCTTCGCCTCTCTGTGCCCGGGTGTTCTCATCTGAACAAGGATGAGAGACCAGAATGCACCAAGACTTCAGATCCTGCTTCAGCTGAGAGACCTGCTTTGGGCTGAGCAGTGAGGAAACGGAGAAAGGGACAGGGGTGAGTTGGAAGAGTCCTGTAACCATGAAGTCTCTTCCCTGCCACCATGTCCTCCTGCACATGCGGCTCCTGACAGGCGGAGAGACCAGGGCCGGTGCACGTAAGCTGCTTGGGCTATGTCTTCAGGAGCTTTATATCTACCTGCCAATCTCTTCACCCTAAGTGGTCCAGAAGAAACCAGTATCTATTATCCAGAAAGCATGCCCATTCCTCAAAGCCCTGCAACCTGGAGGCTCCTATTCTTTGCAAAGCAGGGAAGACAGGCTAGGGAAGTTGCTCAGCAGGGAAAGTGCTTGCCATGTATGAGGACCTGGATTGGATCCCCAGCACCCACATAAAAGTGAGGAGCTCCAACAGCACCTGGAATCCCAGTGCTGAGGATGCCAAGACAAAAGGATCCCTAGACCTTTCTAGATGATCGGTGTAAAGATGGCTCAGTGGTTAAGAACACTGTTCTTGCAGAGGACCCAGGTCGAATTCCCAGCACCCACATGGCAGCTCACACCTGTCTGTAACTCCAGTCCCAGGGAACCCAACACCCTCTTGTCCCCCCTGAGGGCACTGCACTTATGCACTTACACACACAGAAGAGACACACTTAACTTTTTTTTTTTTTTTAATGTTGGAGAGAAATACAAGACACCTAATGTCAGTTTCTGGTCTTCACAGTTACCAGTACACGCACCCCTAACCCAACCCAAGACAGAAACACCCCCCCTTTTCACCACAGCCCCCTCCCCAGCTTCTGCTGTCTCCCTTCCCTTCCCCCTCCCTTCTGGCCATCAGTGTCCCCGCCACCACCACAGACACAGAGAGAGAGAGATATTCAAACCCCAAAAGAGTCAAATGGGACGGAAGCAAGACCTTTCTCGTGGTGGTGGGGTTTTGCGGTTTGTTTAAACAAGTACTCAACAAGCGAGAGAAATGGCATAGCCAAGAGACATCTGGCTATACCCACAGCAAGAAAACCGTTGCCCCCAGTGTCTGGTGGCCTTGCCAGGATCCAGGTGATCTCTGTTCATACTAAAACTGCTTCCCCTGTTCTCAGCCTCCTTCCCTCCAAGACAAGCAGGGCAGTCTGAGTTTCAGGGCTGTGTGAACAGTGCGTGCTGGGCTGCATGGGGCCAACTGGGACTCCTAGACTATGAGCTGTGTGACTGTGGCCTTGAGGGGATGCTGTGAGCTCCGTGACCCACATGGAAGGTTCCTAATGAGAACCCTTAGCAAGGCAGAGTGCATCAAGAGCTCCCAGCTCTTCTCTCGCATCTCGCTTGGAGACGCCAAGGGAAAGTGTGCAGAAATCCTCTCCTCTTTCCACATTTACCCTCATTGGAAATTAGGGACCCTGGTATTGAGGCCCTTCCTCTCACCCCCAGAATCTGAGCTACTGGAGGCGAGGCTTGGGGCCCTTTCTCTTCCCTCTTCCCCTTTTCCTGCATTGCTCGTGTTCACCACGCTACGTTCCCAGGGCTTGCTCAAGAGTCCCAGAACACCATTCCCTGGGGAGGAAGCCGGGAGCGTGTGAGGTTGATGAACTTCACAGGGTGACAAGGGGCTGAGGGCCAGGGCACTCTGGGAACAGAAGCCAGGGGAAGCTGTGCAGGAGGGAACATGAGGAGGGGCCAGGCAGCGGTGGCCCCTGAAGTCAAGCATCCATACCTCCCCTCCAGATGCCTCCCACCCCCTGCCCCTACACTTACCACGCTAGCGATAGAAACCACAGCCATTTAAGTCATGGCTTGCCATGGGCCTAGAACTGTGCTTGATATCTGCTGCCCCTGGCTATGAACAACAAGGATGTGAGGTCAGAAGCCAGGTGAAGACCAGGATCCTCGGACACAGCTGGGGGCGGAAAGGTAGCGATGAGATCCAAAAGACAGGCCCACCTCTCCCGTGTTGTGTGCAAGCAAGCGGTAACCCGGTCCCAGAGTCAAGAGCCACGAACCTGTGTGTGGGAGGAAGCTACAAAGGGAAGTTAAGGTAGAAAGTCTCCCAAGAAGACAGCTGTAACTTGTCCCCTGGGAGAAGGCTCTGGCTTTGGCAGTGACCTTGGCCACATGAACTTTGCTTTAAGGTCATCCAAGCTCAGCGGATAGCCAGCTGAGCCTGGCTCCTCGTCTGCCCTGAATACTGATCAGTGGGTTGCTTTGAGCGAACTACAATGCCTTGTTCATTCCCTTCCCACCTCAGCAGTTGCTGTACCATTCTGGGGCCATGCTACAAGGCTGAGAGCCTTGTGATGCTGGAGGAGGTCACAGTCTCGGTCACTGACTTAGCCCCAGGTTGTGTCCTTCCCCAACACAGCCCATTTGTGATATGAGAGGTGGGACCACCGGTCATCAATGCCACTGGGCAATGTCCTTGCAGAACAGAGCTGTCACTGGCAGGTCCAGCTGGTTAGATGGGAAGGTGAGCCCTCCTCACAAAGCTTAGAATTTCCCTGAAGTCCACCTTTGAAAGCAAGATGGACACAGCAGGGACCACAGTCATGTAGGACCCAAGGGACAGTCCCGTGGGGCTTGACAACCTCAACAAGTCAGTCCAAGGCTTCTGGACTTGGAGTGGCCCAGGCCCTTTGTCAGTTTCTCAGAGAACAATATCGGGCACGGGCCCTTGGGGTCCGGCGCTCTGGTCACAGGGTGGCCTGGAATACTTGTGACAAGCAGGATCTTTTGTGCTTTTCAGGCAAGAGTGATGGCTAGTAGGATCCCCCGCCACACAGGAGAATGACGTGCTTGTGAGAGAAATCCTCCCAAGAGCCAGGAAAGGGACGGCGGTGGCAGCCCTGCTCCCAGAGCTAACTGTAAGTGTCCCTTATATATCCACACACACACCCCAACTCTGGGAGCTCTAGGAATAACCTGGGGCCCTCAGACAAGCTCCCCACCCCAATGCTCTAAACCCTCAGGAAACCAGGCCTGGGAGTCTCAAAAGGCAGAGCCTACGCATAGGGTGGCCTTTCTGTAATGCTGGAGGCTGGGACGGAGGTGGGAAAGAGGGAAGTGAAGAAGAGGGGACACACAGGTGTGAGAACCCTCCCCAGCCCGCTCCATCCCTTCAAACAGTGACAGGAAGCAAGCCTGGCTTGAGGAAGACAGACGGCAGTACTCTTCCTTAGAGATGGAAGTTTTTTGGAGGGGTACCTGGGGTCCTGGGGCTCTGGGCAAGGACTACGCTATTGCAGCTCCTAGGGATGGAGGTGATCCTTCAGCCCTGCTGGGGTCCCAGTGTGCAGAGTCCTACATTCGGTAGCACACTGTGGGAGGGGTGCGGGGGGATGGGAGTCTATAAGTCAGGTAGGGAAACTGAGGTCCAGAAGGGCAGCGCACACTCTGGGCATAAGGTGGGGCAGCGCAGAGAGGTCTGGTATGGCTCTATTGGGGATGGAATGAACAGGGGAAACTGGAGAGAGGGCAGGGAAAGATGGAAGGCAGGGCAGCAGAAAGGACCGGTCTATGGATGGGAGACAGGGCTTATGTAACAGCCCACCTGTTCACCCCTGTGCACATGTGTGTGTGTGAACAAATGTGTACCCCGACACAGCTCACAGCCCCATCTTCACTTGTGAGCAAATGAGTCCATTGTAAACAAATGGGATTAGGAGGCTGCAGGCGCCTCCTCCAAGACCCTCTGGCAGACATGAAGCAGGGTGGCCAGCTGCACTCGCTCTGGCACGGGGACAGTCAGCCCTGAGCCCCCAACCCCTCCCCCACCCGGCCCCAGGAAGGAGCCTTGGAGAAGATGCCAGGATGATGGATGGGGTGAGGGAGGTTCCAGGGCCGGCCTGAGAGCACACAGGATGTTAGTGCTTGTGGGAGGCACATTTCTGAGCTCTTCCCAGCAGCCCACCCCTGCACCCCCTTGAGCTCCCCTCTGCAGCCTCTCCCACGGTCCCTGCTGCTGGCCTGGGACTTGGGCCTAGCCTGAGGTGGACCCTGTGCACATCTGGCCCCTCGGTCCCACAGCTGGACTGAGGGGAAACAGCCGAGGAAGCATCAGCACAGGGAGACACTGAAGGCCACCTTAGAGGGCAGAAGGGACCTGGGAACAAAGCCACAAAGCCAGCTCCCTGCTTTCTTGCCCATTGCTTCAACCGATCCTCAGAGCTGAAATGGGTGCCGCTGTGAGCAGCAAGGCGCGTTTATCCAGGGCTTCTACACATCCTCCTCTGAGGCCCTGATCTGCACCAGGCCCTATGTCGTGTGCTGAGAACACCCAACAAACAGCCTATTGCCGTGTCTGATGGAACTGTTCCTCTTAGGCCGTGTTGTGGAGCATTAAGGCTTGCCTGGTTTCCCAACGGGTACACCTCCAAACACAATGAACTTTGTACGGAGCACATGTGATGGCTCTGTTTGCCCCTTTATGCTGTGTCAATGCAATCAGCCCACTCAGAACCCGGATGCCAGCTACCAGGCCCTGATACCAGACAGCCCTGAGTTAAATCCTACCTCATTTCCTGTTCAGTTACATAGTTGTTCTTAGACTCTCTGGGCCTGTTTTCCCTTCTGCAAAATGGGGGAGCACTCAGGAGGCAGAGGCAGGTGGATCTCTGTGAGTTCAAGGCCAGCCTGGTCTTCAAAGAGAGTTCCAGGACAGTATTCAAACCTACAGAGAAACCCTGTCTCAAAAAAAAAAAAAAAAAAAAAAAAATAGGGGAGCAATTGCTGTCACCCCGTGGGGCTGATTGAATACTCCTCTTTCATACTCTCATGTAGAAACGGAGGCCCCAAGAAGTGAAGGGCTCTGAGATGGGAGTGAAGTTTGGACCAGGCTGTTCCCTTCAACCCAGCATTATTCATCCCACCTGCTACATCAATCAGAGGCCTAGATGGCTGCTCAGTTCGTATAGGTGATTCCCAGGGTATGTGCTGGGCCTTGCCTGGCTTCTCAGCAGCAGTGCAGGTGACCAGTGGTGGCCCTCGGTCCTCTGAGTGGTGACTGAGGTGAGGAATGACAGGCAGAGTTCCTAGCTCAGAGCAGCCTTGCCATATAAGGGCAGGAGCCACAGAGCGTCCTGCCTGGGCCTGAGACTATCCAGACAAGCACTGTTTATCTTCTGCTTCAGCCTCCCCTCTTCTCACCCCTCCCAGGAGCTTCCCAAATGACAGAAGCCAGAGAGTCCCCAGTCTGGAGACATTTTCTGAAGATGTGGGGAAAGGGAAAAAAGCGGGCTGTCCCCAGCACCAGGCCTCCAAGGGCCGAGAGACAACACCCAAGAGCACCAGGTAAGATCCAGAGTCTGCCTGGCCCTTCCACCTCTTTAATGGAATAGGAACCAAGCCCCAGAGATGATGGGGCTGACTGGAGATGGGGCCTGGATCCCCAAGCCTCTCCCATCTTCTGACGGCACCAGAGGGCAAAGGAGCCTTTCTCGGGGTAAATAATGTAGAAAGGCTACATACCTCTTCTCAGTGAAGCCCCGCTTGAGGGAGGCAGGACGGGTGGGTGTCCAGACAAGCTCTGCCTACCAGCCCAGCACATGTATATGAATGTTTCTGGGGCCAACAAGCCATAAGGAGCCCCTTCCTGTCCCACTGCTCCTCCCCACCATCCCAGTCCCCACCCCACCTCTTCCAGGAGGCCTTTTAAGCAGAGGAAGGACCAGACAAGCACCAGAGCTTGTAGGTCCTCTCCAGGCTCTCAGGAGTTCTGCTGAGTCTGCCCCCATGCCCTGCTCAGGTGATTTCCTCCCCCTCAACCTCGAATGCTCTGCAAGGGCAGGGACTATACTGAGGCTGTGTTAGCCCCAAGTGCAAGGACATAATCCCGAGCACACAGAAGTGATGAGTCTGCTGAATGAGCCAGCACAACTATGAGACCCTGCCCTAAACCCAGAGGACTAAGAAACCTCAGGCACGGAGGTTAAGGCGAGGGGCCAGGCCCTGCTGCTATGAGTTAAGAAGCCCAGCACGGTACCTTGTACTCTTATCCCAGGGAAATTCTATTTCTCTGGAGTCTTGGAGACCTATGGGAATATATGTAGTTAAACATTCGCCAGATTGATTACTCTAGAATCACAGGGACAGAACTGGACAGTCTTTATCCAAGGATGGGACAAGGAAGATGAGGCAAAGCCCTTCCTGGCTGAACACTTGCCTCTTAGTACCGTCTGGCTATTTACTTCTCCTTAAGATGGGCCACCCTGTGTCCAGGTCCCAGAGCACACCCAGAAGTATAAAATCTCTGCTGTGCTCTTCTTTATCCCAAGGCGGGGTAGCAGTGGCTCCCAGTTCCCCTCTCTGAACGTGTACCTGCAAGTCTAGAGTGCCTCCACCCCCACCCACCCCCAGTCCTCTATCCAACGTGATGTTTCCCAGCCCCGCTAGCTGTCCAGAGAATAGAACAGGCTCTGGCGCCCTGCCCCAAACCTAGCCATCAGATGTCCTGGTTTCCACTTTTGTCTGCAGTTGTATTTTAGAGTGTAAAGTAAATCCTTTTACACACATAAGTAGGACTACTTGCTATAAGTGGAAAACTGGCTCTATCCATAGTCTGAAACAATGGTGTGAGAACAGCACCAGTTCCACGCTGTCGCCCACTTCTGTGGCTTGCAGGCCCTGAGCCAGGCTCCCCCCCCCCAATACATGGGGCCCCAGTTGCCAGGCATTGTGGCACATGCCTGTAATCCCAGCATCACAGAAGCAGAGGATCGAGGGTTCTACACACCGAAAGAGTTTGAGGTAGTCTGGTCTACTTATGTCTCTGTTTCTGGAGAGCAAGGAAAAAGAACAAAAGAAAGGAGAATAAAGGCAAGAGGAGGAACAACCCAAATGGTGTGTCACCAAGAGACCCCACAATCACCCGCTCCCTCTGCCGCCCCCAGAAAGCAAGGGCAGCATAGGCCAAAGGACTCTGGGCACAGCTGCACCCTGGGGGAAGGCTCAGTGTGGCCCCTAGCAGCCCAGCTGTGCTGTGTCTAGACAGCCCTCCAGCTACTTCCTGAAACGTCCCTTGGTCGGGTTCAATGATGCCTCTCCCAGGGTATGTGAGAGCTATGCGGAATGGAGTAGAGACGCCTGGAGAGTCCCATGTTCAAATCTCCTGGTAAAGGTGCGGTGGAAAGTTTCTGCAGGCTCCAGACAGGAAAAAGTTGGTTATTGGCTCAGGGGACACCTGAGAGCAGAGGATACCCTGGCCTTAGTGACTAATCAGAGAAAATTTTCCAACTGTTTCTGCACCCCACCCCCAACTTGGGGTTGCTGCTATATTCCTGTTGGAGGCCTAGGAGCTATGGAGCTTCTAAAACACGGAGGTGGACTTTTTTTTTCTTTTTTCCCTGTTCTTTCCCAGCCCAGAAAAAAGGCTGCCTACCCTCTTCAGGCAACCCTGAAAGTATGTCATCCAGATCAAGCCTATCACAGTCACCATGACGCAAAGGTCTTCTGGGGACCCTGGGATCTTGGCAAGAGCAGGGTGAGTGGGTGGTGTGGGTGGGGCGCTCTGCTCGCCTGGAAGTTCCCATACAAGCCATGCCCACAGAAGGAAATTAGTTATCCATGCGGCCACTCAGTCACATCATGTCATCTGCTATGTCTGCTGTCGTGTGCAAAGGTATCAGCAGTGTCTCGGAACCCCAAATTATAACATATGGGCCCTGACCTCAGGCAACTGGAGAGGTAAGTAGGGATGTCCCAGAGATGAAACACCCTGAGACCACGGAGTACGAGGTGGCTTGCAAGCCACCTACTTAAGCAGCATTCAACATGGCCCTGACTTGGGGGCTGAGGGAATCAGCAGGCTCCCTTTCCTCATGAAGAAAGGTGTTCACAGAAGAAAACCGTATCTCAAGGGTTAGGAAGAAACAGAGTTCACAGGATGGGCAAGAACATGAAGGAGGTGTCCTGGGGTCTAAAGAAGTGAGGGTTGGTTTCCCACCAATGGTCGTTTGCCCGGAGTCCATACAGAGGCGGGTGGGGAACAAGAGCAGGAACCATAAGGCGAGTGGACACAGAAGGTTTATCTAATAAAGTGCAAGGTCCCGGGTTCCATTCCCAGCCCCTTAGAGGAAAAAAAAAGAAATATTACCTGCACCTTTAAATGGAACTTAAAAAGAAAAAGGAAATGAAGGTAGAGATTTCAGTGGCAGAGGGCTCCGAGCAAGGGAAGGACAGGATGGGAGGCAGGCCACTGCACATGCTCACACTCCTTCTCCTGCCCAGGAAGAGCGCCGCAGCCCCAGCGCGCATGCGCGGAGCGCCTGTCTCCCAGCCTGAGGTGCAGTGCTGCATCTCTGGTCAGTTGGGAGTCTGAGATGAAGCACTGTAGCTCAGGAAGGGAGAAGTTGTTCTGCAGCAGTCACCAGGACGTGGTAAGTGTTGGTGTGGGCTAGTAGGCCTGCTAGCTTGTCCCTAGACTCCGCTCCAGCAGTCCATGGCGATGTTTCTCGGCTCAAGCTGCACCAGTGCTGACCACTCTTGTGCATCTGTAACTGTGGGCACTGGTCCATTCAGTGGCAGCCAGTACTGACCCCTAGAAGACACTGCTAAAGAAAAAAGATACGGCTCCTTTAAGAAACGCTGCCGTATGTCTATCCATTCTGATAGGATTCCGACACACCCTCAGAATCCTTCTCAACACTGCAGACTCAAATACCCACTATGCATGATTCTTGACCAGAACCCATTCATCCCTGTAGCTCATCAGACAATCCCTGACAGCTCTTCCATCCCATAGGTAGCGGCCCAGGATCCTGGTAGCCCAACACATTGTAGACAACACTGTCATGTTGCAGGGTCAAATGTTGCACATTCCTTTTAGGCTTGGAGTCACAGTCTTGACTCTTTGAGCCACTAACCCTGGCTCTGTGCTATTGCCTAAACCAACCCAGGCATTTCACAAATGCCTACTCCTGTCCCAGAGGCTTCAGAGAAACAATGGGCAGCAGAGGAGAACCACAGAGGGAGGCTACCCACTTCACAGGTGAGACAACTAAGCCTAAGCTAAGTGGCTGGCCTTAGGTCACATATGGACCTGCTGAGCTGGGTCCACCTTCTTATCCCCTGTGAGAATGTGGGACTTGGAGCAGGAAGAGTAGGGAAATAGAACAACCCCCAGCCTGGTCTTGTTTACACTCTGATATGGTAACAGAGGCAGGACCACACACTTCTGAGAGTCCTGTGGCCTCTCATTATGCTGGCTCCTCACCCAGGAGGTCCTATTTGATGCCACTTTACAAGCAAGGCTCAGAGTCAACAATGAGAAAGTTGCCAGAGCCTAGGCTGGCCTCACGCAAACTAGTTTAAACTCATCCTCCTGGCCAGAGCACTGTGGCCTGTGGCAATGTGGGGGGGGGTAGGGGGGAACTGGTCCCAGATGTTTTCTGATCAGTTCTGATAAACAAAGGCTGCCCTTTGACCACAGGGAAGGTACTTCCCAAGCCACTCCCCGCTCCAGTCGCTCTTCCCAGGGCAGGAAGCTGTACCCTGGTAGTCGGAGCACTCCACACTGGCTACCACAGCTCAGCTCCGCTGGATGCAGAGAAAAGCTGCTGGTCCCTAGGGGTGTGACAAATGCTGAAGGCCTCTCTGTCCCACCTTGTCCTCACGGTCCAGTTTTCCCAGGAATCCCTTGGATGCTAAGATGGGGATTCCTGGAAATACTGTTCTTGAGGTCATGGCTTAACAGCTGGAGCTGCCTCCTTCCCACCCTGGCATTTCCTGTCTGGGATGCGGGAGAAGGCGGTACACTGGAGGTAAGAGGCCTCGGGAGATCCCTTCTGACCTTTGCATTGCTTTTCTTTCCACTGTGTCCGTATTTCATAACATCCCGGGAGGCGGGATGTGGGAACCTCAGAACTGCCTCACTCTTGAGAAACTTGTCCCAAGTCGCAGTGGTTGCAGCAGGGCTCTGAGGCAGCCTGCCCTCCACGCTAACCCTCAGCGCTCCTTCCCTGCGGGAAGAAAGGAGGAGCCATAGGTCCATATCCACATTCTTAGGAGAATCAGACTCAAACTTATTTTAAAATGTTACTAAATCTGTTAGATAAACGAAAAACCCTTCATTCCTGTTGGATTCGGAGCGCAGCAGCCACAGGAAACAGCTTTCGGGGTAGAAAATACAAGGTTTGGAGCGCCTCCTGGTGGTATTTCTTCCCACTGCAGGAACACTGATTTCCCCGTACACTGCTCAGGAACTCTCTGCCGTGGGCCTTGCTGTTTCTACACACTTTTACCAAAATTCTTCCTGTCCGATCACTTTTGAGCCACAGACATGCTTAAGCCTTATTAACCTCTTGCCAGAGATGCTTCTGCGTCTTACAGTCGGCTTCTCTTTAGGCCCAAACCAGGGCAAATTTACCTAGACAGCAAAAGGTAGACATGGGATGTCTGAGCCAAAAGGAAAAGTAGGACCAAGCAATCCTCCCTTATAACTCCCTGCTCCCCAACTCTGGGAGTTCTTTCTCATTTTTCCTTAATAAATCTATGTTTGCTGTGCTTTAAAAAAATCTAGTTTGAGGCCATTCTGGTCAACCCAGTGAGTTCCAGGACAGCCAGAGTTACATGTCTCTGCATAGTGAAACCCAGCCCCCCCCCCCACCTCCCAAAAAAAATTTAGAACCAGGATGTAGCTCTGCTGGTAGAGTGACTTCCTACAGTGTGTGACTCCCCGGGTTCCTTGCCCAGCACTTACGCCAATCACAGGTGTGGTGGCACATGCCTGTAATCCCAGCACATGGTAGGTAGAGGCAGGAAGATCAGACATACAGTCATCCTTGGCTGAATAGTGAGTGTGAAGCCAGTCTGGGCTTACATAAGACCCTATCTTGAGAGGAGGAAGGTGAAGCAAAAACTACATGAAGATTAAAACTAAAAAGACTGCCTCTCCAGTTGCATGTGTGGAATGCTGACGGGTTGGATGTCAGAATCCTAGATGGAATCCAGGTATAAAACTAGAATCTGGACTGGAGAGAGGAGATGGCTTACCAGTAAAGTCCATCCAAACCACACCAGAGCCTACATGACAGCAGGAGGAAGTGACTCCTGAAAATTGACCTCTGACCTCCACGTGTTTGGCATGCTGTGTGCCACAAGCATACACATGCATAATAAAAATAAATATATGTGAAGGAAAAGTAGAACTTTGGTGGCTAGGGCATGGCCAGGGTTTGGATGCCCGGTGCCTATGTAGAAAGCCAAGGATGGGGTCCCATTTATAATCCTGGTGCT